ATAAGTTCTCGCTTTCGCGACGAAGTTTATTCAGTAAATTAATTTTAAACACTCAGACCATAAATTACTTTTGAAAAGAAAGTTTTTCAACCAGTTGTTATCAAATCCCATTCGAATTATTACTACATATCGATTGCCTAAGTTTAGCTATACATGGATTTGGGAAAGATAAAACATAAATAAAAACAATAAATAATAATTTGCATTATAATAAAACTGGAATCGATTGAAATGAGAAACCTATAAATATTCCAATTGGCCTTTGGGCAGATCCTCCACAGATGTTGGCAGGATTCTGGTCTTTATGCCAAATTGATCGTACGATAAAGTAGAAATTACAGAAGAATGAAAATGGAATGCAAGAAAAGGTAAAGAGAAACAAATAAGAATATTGAACTGGAAAATATGCTCTGGAAATAAATTTGGCAACACTTCGTTGTATGAATGCACCACCCTTTCTGAAGTCCCCTGCTTCCCCTTTTATAGAGATGGAATTCTAACGGTTACTGCTAGAGAGAGTGGACTTTGAGGCAGATAATTCAGGGAGTAGTGGTCCACTCTTTGGGAATTGGAACTGCTTCTTTAACGTGTAATTGAAGTGGGGCGTTTTTGCCTGCATGACGGTCATCACCCGTGTGACGGTCGTCATGAAGCTGTGACGGTCGTCACATCAGCAAAAACAGCTTCTGCGCTTTTTATGATGTTTTCACTCTTTTTTCGTCCATAATTCATCTGAGATTGCTTCTTTTCTTCATGTTGCCTTGTTTAGACGTGATCGTTGAATACCTGCAAAACATCAGACAAATAACACGGAAATAACCCGAAATCGGATTGAAAACGGTTAAACTTTAGTTGAATTATGCATCAAAATATATATACGATTTCGTGTTATCACTGGACCACCTGAGCAACCCTGCTCTTCCTGACTCTTGTCGCAGCTCTCGAGACCGCCAATTTCCTCACGCGCTCTTCGACAGACGACATGCTCCCTGCAAAACAAAACAGAAAAAAAAAGGTCAGCAAACGAACAAAACAGTCAGAAGGTCGACCACCACCTAGGAAACGGAGGGCCTCCTCATCAGATGAGCACTCGAGCAAAGCCTTTATACTGATCAACCTCCTCTGCTGGCAAACGCGCCTCTGGCTGTCGAGGATATATTTGTCGTCGGGCGTCATCAGTCTGGCCGGAAGTAAGCTGGCCACGAAGGATACTATCTTCTAATAGCCCGCCAAGTCTTCCTCGTCCATAGTCCCCGCCCGCACTATATAGTGGTATGTGCCCTTCTTGAAGTGCTCCTCCGTCCACTCCAAAGGCACCCTTAGCACCATAACATCTACCCGCTGCCCGTCCACATCACGGGCCTCTCGCCGGTAAAGGGAGTCACACGCCCCGTGGGAAACGGGCTGGACCACGAAGAAGCGAGCCTTGAAGTCCCTGACAGAATCCATATATGTCTGGAAGAGTTTCCTCGGCTGCTTCAGCGACACTCACCCGTGCCGACCATCGACCGTCTACCTTTGTAAGTGGAAAAGGCGAAAAAAGAGCGACAAAGTGGCCCCGACCTCTAGATGCCTGCATACGAGCTTGTACGCCCGGATGAAAGCTATAGCATTGGGATGCAGCTGTGAGAGAGCCAACTTAAACCAGTCGAAGACCCCCAGCTGGAAATCTGTGAAGGGCAGCCTGAGACCAGCCTCCCGAAAACAAAATTCGTACATCGGGAACCTCATCTTCCTGAACCTCGAACATATCCGATGGTGCTCCCGTGGCCGGTACATCTGCCAACCAATGGGAGAATCCGCGCACCTGTCCTCAACAGTCGCAAAGGCACCAGTCTCATCATCGACGAAGTAAGAGGGCGTATTCAAGGGTTCTTCAGCTACCCAGTCCTCGATTGATCGGGTCCGCACTTCGGCAGCCGGAGCCTCTGGCTCCTCGTCTACGTCCATGGTCCCCGGGACCCAAGAATTCATGTTCATCTGAAAAGCAGAAGGAAATAGTGAATTCGACGTTCAAAGATCAAATTCACCCTTCCACCGCAGGTCAAGTGAATGGGTGATGGGGATGGAGACCACGTCGGCGCATCGACCACCCTGACATCCCTCCTCAGGGGATTCATCCAATCCCCATCAGCGTCCCCGGGGCATGCATCTAACCCTATCGTACGTCCTCGGGATACCCATCTAAACTAACATGTATCCCCGGGATCCCCATCCTCAACAGCTCGATCGTCCCCAGGACATTCACGATACAACCCTAAAACGTCCCCGGGGCCTTCATCCTAAACCTAAGGATATGTCGTCGTATGCGACGGAATACCCTCGCCCTCCTCGGGATATTCATCGTGCCCCCGACGCTGACATCAAAGATAAAGAAAGTAAAAGATTGGAGGAAAGGAACTTACTGGAGTGGATGTAACGGCAGAGTACGCAGAGGATGCTACAGTGGTGCTGGCAAACAAATGCAAGAGCGGAACTCGATCGTCACGTGCGTAAGTGAGTGAAAACAAAAAATGGCAAATGGGCGAGGTCTCGCCTATTTATATATCTAGCGCGGGACTTGAAGCGCCCCTAGGCACTCGAGTACCCTAGGGTAGCCGCCCCACGTGGTCCATCGACAGTTATACACGTAGCCCCGCAAACAGTCACGTCCCTTCATTTCCCCCACGTGCACGGACAGGCGAGGACGCGCCAACCTTCCACCTCCTCGACCTGATTGCCCGACAAGACCGAGATTCCCACGCTCTCGCATACTCGACAAGTCAGACCGACAAAGTTTCCTCCTCGCGCTCTTTGCCCTCGACACGACAGTCCCGCGAAGGACCCTCCTCGCGCATTCTTTCTCCCTGGCGCAGTACCATCAAGTCCTTGCTCCCTCCCTTTGGAGCTACGACTTGGGGGGCTCCTGTTATGGACTGGGCCCGGGCCCACCCATCCTTATGTCAGGCCCAGCCCAAAGCTATTTGGGGAAGGCCCAAATTGCCCAGTGTCGGGCACATGTTCTCCCGTCGACCAGATAGCTCCCCTCGTCGAGCAGGACAATCCCTCCGTCGGGGAGGACAACACGTCTTTTACACGTTCTCCACGTGCCCCCTCCGCGGGGACACGTCATCAGCCAACTACCCACATCTAAAAGAGATGGTCAACCCATCTTCCGGAGATCACAGGACGGTTGAACTAGGGCGAAGACCACGTGTTAGGTCTTCACTACGCCACGTAAGCCCTAACAGTCACCTTGGTTGGGCCTGACAATCCAGCCCAACACAAGTGACCATTGACTCTGCGCTGGGGTCTCTCTATAAATACCCTATTTCACAAGAGGGTCAGATTTTCACTTCTTAACCTCTCTTCTGTATTTTCTCCCACTCTGGTCCATTACTTACTTTGGCATCGGAGTGTCTTGCAGGCACACTCCCTCCTCTTCCATACTCTCGGCGAACAACTAACAAATCAACGACGCGGGACAGATCATTGATTCCCTTCTGATCAGGTCAGATCACTAACAATTTTTCATATCATTATACAATTGCCCCATTTTTTTCTTTGATATATATATATATATATATATATATATATATATATATATATATATATATATATATATATATATATATATATATATATATATATATATATATATATATATATATATATATATATATATATATATATATATATATATATATATATATATATATATAAGACATTACATCCAAACAATTTATAAATGAGCTTAAGAACGAAAAAGATATTTATCAGAGCTACAATGTCATTAAAGTGTTATTCAAGTGTTAAATGATAAACATAATACTTATATCTATCTTGAATCAGATTGAAATGAATTGAAAAGAAAATATAACTTACCAGCTGGCAAAATATTTAGTTTCATAGTAAATGATCTAAAGTACATTTTTAGACCACAATTAATTACTATTAATTCTTCCGTTTTAAAATAATTGTCATAATTGATGATTTCACATCAATTAAAAAATATAATAAATAAAAAAAATATTTTACTAAACTATCCTTATTTATTATTGTGTATTTGAATTATGAATAATAAATTAAAAATATAATTGGAAAATGTTCTGGCCTGGGCCGCCGCTTGACTGGAAAGGCTCAGCCCACTTATGCTTGGTGAAAGGCCCAAATGAGTCCCCCTTATCTGTGTCGAGCACGAGGCTCCCGTCGACTAGGCGTTGTCCCGTCGGGCAGAAAGACGTGTGCCTCACACGTTCTCCGCGTGCTCGCCTCTACGGGGACACGTCATCAACCAATTGCCCACCTCCGAAAGAGTAGGTCAACTCACTCTTCTGAGTTCACGGAGCAGTTGAACTAGGGCGAAGACCATGTTCAGGTCCTCACTACGCCACGTAAGCCCTAGCAGTCACTTGGGTTGGACCTGGCCATCCAGCCTAATTCAAATGACCGTTCGCCCTGCGCTGGGGTCTCTCTATAAATAACCTCTTTCACTAGAGGGTCAGGTATTTTCTTCTCAACCTACTTTCTGTATTTGCTTTCACTCTGTCTAATTCCTTACTTTGACATCGGAGTGTCTTGCAGGTATACCCCCCTTCTCCTCTTCAATCCTCTTCAACACTGGTGAACAGACAACAAGTCAAAGACGCGTGGCAGTGCAGTGATTCTCTTCTGATCAGGTCAAATAAAAAATAAATATTAAAATTATATTAAAAACTAAAATACCACATTTATTTTGAGATAAATACTTTTATAAAATATCACTAAGTATTTTGAGATAGACAAGAAGTAGTAGGACGTTATCAAAACAAATGCGCTTACAATAACAAGGATAGTTGTTTCTTGCTACTATTTCATCCTTGAGCATAAGAAACACACGAATGCAATAAAAAGATAGAGAAATTTTGAAAACACCAATAAAAGCATGACACGTGTGATAACAACATGAGAAAGTCGTTGGTGTTTGAGCAGATATCTTTCGTTTGGAAACAGAATAGCGAAGCGCGCTTTTCACTCTCCTAATGGCTCACATCTGCCAATGTCTAAGTCGACTGTTAACCTTCCGGCGAGACTTCCAGGTAACTATTTCCGGCAACCACCGCAAAACCGGTCAACAGTTTGTGGAGGAAGTGATATCACTAGCACACGGCCTTCTCCAGCTTGGAGTCTCCCCCGGTGACGTTATCGCCATCTCTGCTTACAACAGGTAGTAGAGAATCTAGTTATTGCTGCTAGTTCATTATCAATGAATTTACGAAAGGTGAATTAATTTGATTTTTGATTTCAGTGATTCGTATTTGGAATGGTTATTAGCCATTGCATTTGTGGGAGGAATTGCCGCTCCTTTGAACTATCGCTGGGTATGTAAATTTGATGTACATATGAATGATTGTCCTAATTTGTATTGTTTTTGTGGTTTGAAACAATTTTTTTTTTACTGTTGAAGAGTTTTGAAGAGGCGAGGTTTGCAATGGCAGTAGTGAAGCCAGTGATGTTAGTGATTGATGAAAGTTGCTATTTATGGTACTTCAAATTCCAACAAATTGATATCCCATCTTTGAAGTGGCGTGTTTTGTTGGATTCTCCTTCTTCAGATTTTACAAAGAAATGGAATGGTAGGAATATTCGTGTGTATTCATTTGTAATTAAAAACGGTCTGTGATTGCGGAAACAGCAGCGACAAAACAGTATCAGCATGTGCCGATACCAAAATCATTATCACTGTTTTTATATTAAAGAACAAATCGTCAAATTGTGGTTAATTCACACCGCGATAACCGTAATCAGTGTCGCAACACCTGTACTAACCGAAATTGCGAAAGCCTTTATGCGACCCCAACCATTTTTTAAAAGCTTATACTAAAGTACTATTTATGTATAAAAACTTTTATAAGCTTGAATAATGTTCTTAGCTTAATTGCTCTTGTTGTTTTGTAGTGTTGACTCCAGGAATGATTAAGAAGCATATTGTGAAACCTATAGAGTTTAATTACTCCTGGGCACCTGAAGGAGCTGTCATAATATGCTTTACTTCAGGTTCTACATTCTCACTTGATTGCTTCATAAAGAAAAACTTCTCACTTGATTATTAAATCGAGATTCATATCACGTGTATTGATTGAGTTCAGTTTTGTATTAAATCGAGATATGACATGCATGTATTGTAAGATACTGATAACTATGCAATAATGTACAATTTGTATGACTTTTTGATAATAATGTACATGCTAGTGTTCAAATATTAATCTAGGGAGTACACTTCAAAATTGCTGAAATTGTTATGTGCTTGACTCTTAGGAACTACTGGAAAACCCAAGGGAGTGACAATAAGTCATGAAGCTTTGATCATACAGTCCCTAGCAAAGATTGCAATAGTTGGATATAGTGAAGATGATGTATGACATTCCCCATTACATCCAGTTTGTGTTACTTATTGGTTTTGACAACTTACCATTATATCATAACATGATGAGGTTGTCAATATTAACTACATAGATTCTACTTACTTGCATGTTACATTATAAACCAAGTTGAAATATTCAATCGTCTAATTGATGTTTGAGCTCTCCATTTTTTTTCCATTTGTTCTCCAACAGGTTTATCTTCATACTGCTCCATTATGTCACATTGGTGGCTTGTCATCAGCAATGGCCATGCTCATGGTTGGAGGTTGCCATGTATTCATGCCAAAGTTTGATGCAGAATTAGCTGTGGATGCCGTAGAACAACATACTGTCACATCTTTTATCACAGTTCCTGCCATAATGGCCAGTTTGATTTCTATTGTTAGGTATGTTCTATACAAAACTTTGTTCCTTTCTGAAACAAAAATGGTCATATGATTCAATATATAAAAAGAATTTAATTTATATCAAGTATTTATTTAATGTTTTGATATTTTTAGGCACAAAGAAACATGGAACGGGGGAGAATCTGTCAAGAAAATACTCAATGGGGGTGGAAGCCTCTCACTTGAGCTTATCAAAGACAGTAACATATTCTTCCATAAAGCTAAGCTTATTTCAGCTTATGGTGAGTCTTTCTTAACCCAATCTTGCCTAGAAGAAAGTTTTTTTAACTAAAGTATGTTTGGTTAGTTTATTTGAGCTTTACTACTAGTATTAGCACATGGAAAAATATGGCATGTCCATAAGCTTAAGGATACAACTTATAACATGTCCATATGCTGTTTTCAGCTTATTTCATAAGCTTTGTGAATTTGTTTATGAAAACAGCCTATAACTTATATAAAAACAGTTCAACTTTATTTTATCTTTTTCTATAGAAATAGCGTATATATAAGTACTTTAGCACATTTAAATGGTCGTACTTTTACATGTAGCGAGTGCTTGTGATCTCATTATCTATAACAATTTTCATTTATTAAAGGGATGACAGAGGCATGCTCTTCACTGACATTCTTGACACTATATGATCCACTGCAAAAAACCACAAGCCATCCTTTTCAAACATATGGTGAGGTAGAATCCAAACATCTCATTCACCAACCACAAGGTGTTTGTGTTGGCAAGGCTGCACCTCATGTAGAGCTGAAGATATGTACAGATTCTTCTGGTGACACTGGAAGAATTTTAACTAGAGGACCACATTTAATGGTCAGGTATTGGGATCAAACTCTCACAACCTCATCTAATCAGAGGAATGAAGTATGGCTTGACACAGGTGACATTGGATCAATGGACTGTCATGGTAATTTGTGGCTCCTTGGACGTACAAATGGTCGCATCAAGAGTGGCGGGGAGAATATTTATCCTGAAGAGGTAATAAACATGCACAACTACAAAGATTAATATCTAGATTTGAATGTCGAGTAAGACAATATAGACACGTGATACTGAAAGAGCATAATGTTTTATTACAAAGTTCAATCCTTCAAAACAAAAGAGACACACTAGACATTTCTAGGATTTAGATTCCTTGCATTCGAAAATGCACATATTATTTGATCTCGAACACTTATTTGAGATCAGCTGGCTCACACGATACCTTCACCAAATTATTATACCTTTGATTCTAGATCAGATGACTAAAACTAATTAGTGTGTAACACATTTAATGTATGGTATCCGAATTACATTTCTTCTAAGCATGTTTAGGTGTTCATAATTTCTTCTTTTTATATACTTAGTTAAGTGCTTATCTTGTCTTGGTTTAAGGTTTTAGGTAAGTGTGAACATGTTATGTGTTTGTAGGTTGAGGCAACTCTACTAGGACACCCGGGAATTGCAAATGTTGTTATTGTGGGAATTCCAAATGCTCGTTTCACAGAGTTGGTAGCAGCATGTATCCAACCTAGTAAAAATTGGCAATGGTTAGAGCATTCTACTTCAAATGAAGAGTGTCACTTATCTAAAAAGAATCTTCAACAATACTGTTTGGAAAATAGTTTAAGCAGGTTTGTATCCAAAAATTTACTCATGTTTGTTAAGCTAGATTTTGATTGAATTAACTTCTAGTTTGCTAAAACTTCTCAATTAAAATAATTTTGTACTCTCTCCATTCCAAAACATCTGGGCATGTAATGGTGGTTTAAGGATACACCTTTTTTTTCTCTTCTTTCAGGTTTAAGATACCAAAGATATTTATTGAATGGAAGAAGCCTTTTCCAGTCACTACCACAGGAAAAATAAGAAGAGACCAAGTTCGAAAGGAGGTTGTGTCTGAGCTACAATCTTTGCATAGTAATCTTTGAAGGAAGTTTCTTTTCTCATCATATTAAAGCCTTAGCACCCCAATTTGCTCTCGGTTGATAAGTCAATTGAGGACATACATTTTTGTGTAAAAATTTGTAATTGTATGTTATTATTTTAATATACATTTTTAATTAAATATAGTATATTAAAATATCAAAACAAAATAATAATGATAGAATGAAATAAAAATACGGGAGACCTGACCTATTACAATTGAAGTATCAAACATTAAAAGCGATGTTAAAATTATGACAGACAATTTTGTCAGCACAATAATTTTCTCCATTTCCAAACACAGCGTTGTGATCATTCCTGGTATTTACTTTTAATACCTAATACCAATCCAAGTGCTAGAGTAAATGTGGTAATTGATTGGTTTATGATGCCTAATCACTCTACTTCTAAGAAATTCCCGTTTATTGTTTGATTGAAGAACATCCCAACATAGCTTAAGAGATGTTTCTTCATTGATACTCCTCAGGGATCTAATGTCAAAGCCCCATTTTTTTTGGTGTGAAAAATCTATGTCAAGAATACTTTTATTGGCATCTTTGTTCCATATAAAATTCATGTTACATTTTTCAAAATAAAATTCATGTTACGTTTTTCAATATCTTTGATTAAAGCAATACACCAATAATTCAGAAAAAAAAAACTATAAATCATTGTTCATTTGATTACACTCTTAACCAATTGAACGTTATTAAAGATAATAGATAAAATATTGTTATACTTTATTCCTCAGCCTCAGGTTGATTTATATAGTAGAGATATAGTTATGACATTTATTCTCTCGTTAATGGAGAATAATAGAAATTAAAAAAAAATAAAAGGAGTATTAAAGAAAATAATAAAATTGGAAATAAAATATTTTTCAACATCTCCTCTCCCCTTTTGAGTTGGTGCATAGATATTTATTATGTCCAACGTGTCTATTAAATGCTTAAAGGTAGGTCTTGTCAAGCTTTTCATTAGGATATCCAGTATCTAGCTTCTTCTTTATGAAATATCGATCAATCTATGTATATTTTGTTTTGTCATGTTGAACTGGATTATGAGCTATGTTAATATTGTCAGTGTACCATTTTAATGGAAGCTCAATTTTCATCTTAAGTTCTTATAAGACTCTAAGGATCCATAATTCTTTACAAATATATTGAGACATAGCTCTAAACACGACTTCTGCACTACTCCTTGCCACAACTCCTTATTTCTTACTCCTTGTCACAAGATTACTCCAAACATAGATACAGTATCCAGAGATTGATCATTTATCTGTGACTGAACCTGCCTAATCAGCATCGGTGAAGATAAACACATTTCTTTCACTAATCTTCTTAAAAAAAGTAATTATTTTTCAGAATTTCTCTTCAAATATCTCAGTATCCTATAGACTGCCTCAAGATGTTCTTTGAAAGGAGAATGCATAAACTGACTCACTACATTAACTGAGAAAGCAAAATCAGGCTGAGTGTGTGGCAAATAAATCATTTTCCCAATTAATCTCTGATATCTTCTATTATCAACAAGCACATTACCTTCTCCCCAAAGTTTAGCATTAGGATCCATAGGGGTATTTGTAGGTCAACATCCATTTCCTTGTGTTTCTTTCAATAAGTCTAGAACGTATTTCTGCTGTGAAACCACAATAGCATTCTTTGACTGAGCAACCTCTATACCTAGAAAATATATCATGAATCTCAAATCCTTGATTTCAAAGTCTACTGTCAATTTCTCTTTTACTCTTGCCATAAAAATGTTGGAAAAGGAATTATGAGTTTCCATTAAGTTTCACGTGTATGTCATTTGCGCTTGCAGTGATCACACCAAGGAACTTTGTCTGACCTTTTTCCCTCGTCAAGATTCCTAGTAGCCAGAGCTGAGCCTTCGGATTCAGAGCTTCATGGTGTATTTCCCATCATAATTCATTTTCGTACCTCCTCCCTTCTTATTTATGCAAAAGTTTCATGAAGAGTTGAAAATGGTATTTTCCTAAAACGGTACCTCTTACCTCATCAAGGTCTTTATTGAGCCCAGCGAGAAACATGAATACACGATCATTTTTTTGCCTCATGAGAAACAAAACAATGTCTTCTGTACATCTTCAATTGTCATCATAACAAAGATCCAACTCTTGCCACAGAGTTAACAACTCATTGTAATAAGCAGTTACACTCCTGTCACCTTGTTTTGCAAGCCATAACTTTGATTTTAAACCAAAAATTTGGGAGGAGTTTTGAATATCGGAGTATGTTTCCTTAACAGCTTCCTACACATCATTTGCAGAAGGTAAAAATATGTAACGCTTACCTATTCCAGTTTCCATAAAGCTTACCAACCATGCAGTAATCAAGGAGTTTTCAGACTTTCATTGTTTGTAACGAGGGTCTCTTATTGTCAATTCAACTACTGCTCCTGTTAAGGAACCAAGTTTTCCTTTGTTATCCAATACCAACCAAATTGTTTGAGCTTATTCATTATAGTTATTCTTATTAATTTTAGGGATATTAACCTTGAGGGAGTACGAGGAACCCTCTTGATCATTATCGGCTATGTTGGAATAATTGTCACCAAAAACAATGTTGTTCTTGTTTCCATTGTTGTCGTCATTACTGTAAAAAAAACAATGTTGTTATTGTTTCCATTGTTGTTGTCATTATTGCTAGCCTCTTCCATGTAACACTAGATTTTTGGAATGACTTATAACTGACTGTTGTCAATCATCAAATTCGTAGGCTTACTCATCTTAATCTTTAGATCCTTTAGCAAGTTCAGAATCCAAACAGCTTGATAAGTAGGAAAAGCACATGCAATGTACTCAACTTCACAGGTTGACAATGCAATCATTGGTTGCTTCTTGGAGCACCTAGAAATAGGACCTCCCAGATACTTGAAGAAAAATCCAGAAGTAATTCTTCTGACATCTCTGTCTCCACACCAATCAAAATATAAATAGCATATCAGCTCTGAATCAGCTTCAGCATCAGAAGGGAACAAAACTCCATACTTCAGAATCCCTTTAACGTACCTCGATATCCTGACCTCAGCTTGATAATGTGACCACTTTTGTTTATTCATAAACATACTCATCATTCAAACTGTATGGCAAATATTAGGGCTGGTATTACAAATATATCTCAATGAGCCTATCAACTTTTTAAATTTTGTAGTATCTAAATCATCACCCTCAACATCAAAATCAAGCTTGTGATTAATTTCAGCAGGTGTGATTGCAGACTTGCAATTTGTTAGCTCAAATCTCTTCAGAAGTTCAAGTTCATACTTCAGCTAATGCAAGATTATACCTTTAATAGAATACAAAATCTCCATCCCTATAAAATATGTCATATTTTGGAAAATATTTTATTTTCATATTTAATTGTTTACGTTTATTGTCATTGATTTTCTTTTATTCTCCATTAAAGAGATAATTAATTATTTTTATTATATTCTCATTATATAAACTAGCCTTTGGCTGAGGAATAAAATTACAACAATTTTTATCTATTTCTTCCAATATGGTATCGAGAGCTCTGGGTTAGGGTTACCGTAAAGCTTTATACAACTAGTCGGGTTTGGGGCGTAGGCCCGAAAAGTTTTTTTGCTCGACCCATTTTTTTATCTGATCTGATTCACATACCCGTTTAATCTCTTATGGCGAGTAACAACGACGGTGGCCGCGGAAACGGCTGTGGTCGCAGAGATGGTAAACAAGATGAACCGTCAGTGGTAACAAACAGTGGTAATAATGACGGCAATAATGAAGACATTAACATTGTTTTTAGCAATAATAACGGCAACAATGGAAACAGGAGCATTATCTTTGGTGATAGTTATTCCAACATAGGTGCTAATGATGAAGAGAGTTCCTCATACTCCCTCAAGGTCAATATCCCTAAACTGATGTCGCTACTCGAAAAATGCGTCGCGCAACGACGGGGAGGCGAAAAAGATAGACAGAAGAGTCGCCACCGAACTTTATTTATCCCATGAGGAGAAAGGAAAATATCGAGAAAACCTTAAGAAGAGAAATGGATAAGATGGTCTCGCAACCATGAACGGGTTCGGAAGCCGGTTATGCGAGGGGAAGGTATTAGCACCCCTCGCATCCATCGTACTCGATGGGAACCTTTTGTTTATCGAATGTGTGAATTTATTTGCTTAAACATTATGCTAATTGAAGTGTTCCACAGGGTAAAAGAAGGGTCAGAAACAGGAAAGTTAAGAGGAAAGAGAGAACGGGGAAGAAAATAGAAAGAGTAGACTCGGTAGGACTTCGCAGTCCTATGCCTACGTATTCTTAATAGATGTGAGAAAGTCAGAGTCGACGTAGTTCGGGGCTACGGATATGGGGGGAAAAGTGCTCGGCAAGGATTGTGGCCCTTGTGCCTACGTATCTTTACTTGAACGAAGTAAAGAATCAGAGCAGCCGTAGTTCGGCCTACGGTTTGTTGATGTTTTTTATGGATGATGCTATCGTGCGCATTCTAGCAGTTAGGTGTTTTGCTGCTCGCTCGTTGGAGACTTAGGCGTTACCTGTTTGCGGTAGAACGGACGTATCATATCCTTTTGAAAGATTGATTAGTTTTCGCCACGCGGGGCAAGAAGTCACGTTTGATTGATTGGATTGTTTTTTAGGGGGCGAGACATGTCCTCGGATAGTAACCCCTACGGGTAGTACCCAATTCGTTATCTCAAAGTTTTTTGTTATATAAAAAAAAAGTGTCGCGAACGAGGCGTCTTTGTATTGAAAGACGAGCGTCGAAACCACCCTCACTACAGTGGGCATCCCTATGCTCGGAGAAGAAGAGGTCTACACCCAATCCTCTCTCTTTAATTCAATGCAAAGAGAACTTCGTTCTCTTATTAAAGATGTTTTTGGTTTTGAATGATAAGTGTTTTGCGACAGAGAACCCTACGGTAAACGTCCGCACTCGGGATAGGAGAAGGCCTACGCCTAACCAACCCACGACCATTCAAGTTTTTGTTACGAAAATGA